CAAAACACACAGAAGAAAAACGCAATTCATCTCATTTCCATTTTAAATGAATTCAATATTTCCGTCTTTTTTTTTTGCAGTGAAACTTGCTGAATTTTTGTTTCTAACAATCATCTTGTATCAGAGATTCTTAAAGTTTGAGTAAGATAACTGAGATAGATGTAATTGATCCGAAATTATCTAGCATTTCACATGGGGACAGATTCGGATGTTTTGTATACCCTGCACCACTATCAGCGTTGTTAGAGGGTATGTATCTATATATATAAAAATGAAAGTGTGTTTGTATGTATGTTTGTTTGTTTGTTTGTGCTTTATAGACTGCTAAACGGCTGGACCGATTTTCCTGAAATTTTCACAGTTTCTTCATGTATGTCTGGAAGGAACTATAGGCTACTTTTTATGTTGAAATTTCATGTGGGCGACGTGCCACGCCCATATTAAGAAAATATTAAATTAGTATATCTGAGATAATATAATAGTTAGAGTCTTCAAATTTTGTCGGAGCAACTTAAGTATCAATATAATTATTTAAGACAAAAAGTGGGCGGATTAGCATTAGGGGGCGTGGCACCTCCCATATAAATTAAATACAAAAATTCGTTTATCTTGGAAACTATTATAGTTAGAATATCAAAAATTTGCACGAGTATCTTTAACATCCATGTAAACATTTTGAGAAATAAATTGGCGGACTACCCATGAGGGGAGCAGCACCTCCCATATTAATAAAATACACAAATTGGTTTATCTGGGAAACTAATAAAACTAAATTATTCAAATTTTGCACTAAGAACTTAAATATTCATCTGAACATTTTGGAGAAAAAAGAGCGGACTTTCGTCATGGGGGCTTGGAGCCCCCATATAAATTAAATAGGAAAATTATTATATCTGAGAAACTATTAGAGCTAGAATCTTCAAATTTTAATTGAAGAACTTTGACATTCATGTGAACATTCAGAGAATAACGGGCGGACTTTCAATGGGGAGCTTGGCACCTCACATATGAATTAAATACAAAATTTCGCTTATCTGGGAAACCAATAAAACAAGATTCTTCAAATATTGCAAGAAGAACTTTATTATACATATGAACATTTTGGAGAAAAAAAGGGCGGACATTCATCTGGGGGCTGTGAGTTCCCATATGAATTAAATAGAAAAATTCGTATATCTGAGAAACTATTAGAGCTAGAATCTTCTACATGAAGAACTTTGACATTAATGTGAACATTTAGAGAATAACGGGCGCACTTTCAATGGGGTCTTGGCACCCCCTATATGAATTAAATACTAAATTTCATATATCTGGGAAAATATTAGTTTTTTTTTTTTTAATTTGTCATCGATTACATTAAAATCTTAATTAACGTTCGGAAAAAATGCATCTATGGGAAACATTACAGTTAGAATCTTCAAAATTATTAAGAAGATTTTTTATTTAAATTGATTTTAGGGTAGCAAAGCATACTGGGTATAGCTAGTGTATGTATAAATTTGTCAAGAAATATTTATCTGAGACGCAACTACGTATGTATATTCCGGGTCTGCCTAAAAAAGAGATTAGAATCTAATTTCCACAAAATCCTGTTAATGATAAACTGTTCTAGTTTCTAAACTCGATTGCTCTAACGTTCTACCCTGGTTATGATATTCTATCTAGAATAAGTGCCTCAAACTAAAAGTGACTGGGCACAATCCAGAGGCCTGAATGTTAACCCGACGAAGATTGAAATCTGCTAATTTTATTGAACATTGTTTCCTGGTCAAGAAGATTCCGATGACTGACAGAGTTAAGTTCTTAATTAATATCAAACCACTATAGGGCGTTCAGCGTAAAAGTGTACCATGAGCACAACGTCAACCAAGGATCTGGAAACGTTGCTAGATAATCCACCCATTGAAATATATGTATGTATATGATATAAAACGGCGCTTATAGCCGAAGGATTCTTAACTTTAGTCGCACTGACCAAAGAAGGATATAAGAGACGTTATCAATAAGTACTAGAAACATTGGAACGCTATACATAAACATCGGACGTGCCCGATTGCGTACCACTAACAGAATATGTAGGGAACTTTGAAACTGATACCATATAGAATGTCATGGTCAAGGGTACATTTGAGCAAATACCCGTACGAATCCGTTTCTACTCGGTTGGCTCTAAACTGGGGGGGGGGTGAAACCGGCCTGTTGTTCTGTATTGAAGACCCAGTTTACAACACTAGCTTCCAGGCAGAAATCCGAGCAATAACAGAATGGGTAAATTGGTTTAGAATATATAAGGCGCTTACAGGGGTAAACATATTCACATACAGCTAGATGGTAATTAGGGCAATATCAGGTGATAAGTTCGAATCTAAGACCGTATTGGATTGTAAGATATCTTAAACTGAATACACTCACAGAGGTAAGTTTTTCATCAACAGGCCATTCGGGAATAGTCGGCAACGAAAGAGGGAAAGGAAGCTCGAGTTAGTTAACTCGACGACCGCAAACCCATTCGAAGCAATAAGAGCCGGAAATTTTGGGCAAGAGAATCTCTTACGGCACCTTGGAAAACATGAAACAGTGGTTAGAACCACCGAGAGCAGGTCGACAGTGGATACACACAGGATTACGGACATAACTATACAAAATTGGACGTGAAAAATTCTGCATTCTACCTTCTTTCGTTGAGTGCCCCCGGGGGTATGTTACCTTCGTGAAATCTCCATCTTGATGTTATTGCAATATCCTGAGGAAAACAGGTGCTACCAATATCTTTAGTCTGCTGGGATTATAAACTGGTGATGATCAAATGTGTCCTCGGCCTATCCTTGGAATGATTTGACATGGGGTCGAATTATAGCACCAGATAATCTGGTACAACGGGTGGCCAGTTGCCAAGGGACTTTGTCCTTGCTGGTCAGTTGGTTCAGGATCCACGTAGTGGCTGTGGTTTATACCCAAATTTGCGTGAAGGGACAGTTAGTTTGATTTGATTCGCGGTGAAGTAATAACTTTTCAAGATAAGTTTCTGTTATCGTTCTAAAAAAAGGTACAAACCACTGGGAAGACTGTGGACTAAAATGTTAAGAATGAGCTGATAATGCAGATATTGATAATTAAAATTATATGTTGACTGTTGGATACAATGTATTCGATCGAAGAGATGGTTAGTTGGCGTAGACGGTTGTGTCGGAAGCGATGAAAGTGTTGTGAAGATGGATGGAGTTAATTTGAAGTTTTCCTGCATACTTAAGTATAATGGATGGTTTTGGAGCGGTTGAGTAGGAGCAGTAGCTCCCACCCAAATGGGTGTTCATTTTCCGTCTTCAGAAACCGGAAGATTGATTTCACCTGATGTTGGAGGGTTGCCCCTTCTATGGACTTTAGAACAGTGATTGCTTTTTCCTTGTCGGGTTATGCATTGGGATTGATCTCATGCTGCCGGTGATTCCGCAACGGGACTGCTATGGCAAGAGATTAGATAGCTCGAGTACTTAAGCAAAGTGCTTATCCATGGACACAGCTATGTACAAAGTATTTCTACCGATTTCTTAATTGAATGATTCAAGGGCGTGTGGTGGATCGTCCCAAGTCCTCTCAGTGGTTGAAAAAAAACCAGCGTGAAGGCAGGTGTTCACGTTAACCACATTTATAGTCTTCTTTCGTTTAAGTAATATCGATCGTATTTTCAACAAGTGGAAAAATCTATAACGTAAAGGAATTTAAATTGTTGATATAAAATATTGATTGAGAATCACTATCACGTAAAATGTGTTTATAGCCTAAAGGGAAGTAGTTTTAATTACAAATTTTAGAAAAAAATTAAGATAATTATTTTTCGCATAATACATAAATTTCAATGGAAGACAAATAACAACTATTATGTGGAACCAAAGACGTTAGACGATTTATTAAATTAACGGTATACTTCCCCATTCAGTGTCATCTATATTGATTCTTTGGTTTCAGTATTTCTTGTAATAAATTTTTCCAAAAACTAACTTTACTGTAATGCAAGTACATGTATCTGAAATCAATTCTATAAAGATTTTTTTTTTTTGATTTGTATCTTTCTTTTAGCGGTTTCTATTTGTATTTCTGCACTGACGTTGATGTGTTAACGTCGTTTTCATGATTTATGATTTCTATAACGATTTATTTGTTAAGATGATGATGATTTTTTTGTTGTTCCTACATCTGTCTGCCTATTTGAATGAAAACTGTATAAATTTGTGTTAATGTTTTCATTAATGTATTTCTGGTGCTTCGTTGATTTTTTTTGTGTGTCAAAATGAAACATTTTTTTTTTCTGTGCATATTTTATTAGATGCAAATTCTTGATAGTGAATAAAGGAAACCTGTTGAATGATTGTGTCATGAAAGTGATGGATTTTAAATACATAAACATTTATTCATGTGCTGTTTTATGAGTGTCTTCAAGTTGGAACAGGTGATAAATGTTTGATGTAGTTTTTTTTTTCCAAATTTTTATTTATTTCTTAATCTAAAACGATGTAGATGTTGCAGATGTGGTTATGTGAGTGTTGAGGTTTGTTGGGATATTTTTGAAAATTTTAAATAATTGACACTATGATGATTTGCGAAAACTATTGAAAGGAAATCATCTCTTTATTGAAGTTTGGAATTTTAAAAAAATTTCACACTTTGATTCATAACTTATTGAAAAACGCATAACAAAATGGGAAAATTTCATTTCAAAGAACACATCACTTAGGCTTTAATAGCAGGATTAAAAGGATCTGATTAACATGAAATTGAAAATTTAACACTACACCCAAGAAATGAGTAATTCACACTCAAATCGGAAGTAAAACAACGCATCCGTTAAGTAATAACACAACTTTTTAATCACCAGTTATCTTTATTTATTTCTTAATATTGCGTTTATATAATCGTCTCATTAAACGAACAAACTTTTTTATATATACTCCACGATGTGGCCAATAGACTTCAAAAGCAAAACAAATACATAGTAAGATTACTATAACAACAAAAAGAAACATTAATAATTTCATATCTTCCAACTTCATTGGTTCAAATGTTGATATGCTGCTCTTATCCTCTAAACTGATTCTGTCTAATTGAACAAATTCCAAAAATGCCAATGATTTCCAATAGGCTACCAGTCCAGCCTGATTAACTTGACCGATGAGAGTATTCATGGCCTCCTCGTAAGGTGAATTGGGCTGTAAGGGCAATTGCATGCCAAACATTTTCAAAATGCAAATATCAGTCATACGATAACGAGGTTTGGAAAAGAATTTCTGCTGTTGCTCGAATATGGTCCATTGAGCTGAGGGCACTGGATAGACATAACGTGGATCAAAACTACTGCGTAAAGCATAATACTCTTTATAGGAGGGAATAATTTTTAAAAGGGTTGTAAATTCATTTGCTGGATCGAAAGCTCTTAAAAGATCATATTCTTCCACAAACAAAGCAATACGCATGTCCAGTTTTTTAATATCATCCAAAGAATTTATAACATGTTTCTTGGGAGGTCTGGCATTGAAGGTTTGCAAATAGGTGACATATGTGGTATTGAACACCAAGCCGGATAAGCAGATTAACATAAAAAGTAAACTGCGTACCCCGGAGAAATAGCGTTCACCCTTAAATGATTGACCCAAAAGACCATTGAGTACATTTATATTAAATAGAAGTTCTTGAAAAACAATCTCTTCACGATTAACAAAATACGTAACAGCTAAGACTATGGAAAATGTTATAAAAGCCACTACAATCATAACCATGCTGGGAGTGTCAAACACCATTATATAAAACCTATAAGCCGGTACCGATTTCTCCAGAGGTACCATTAAACACCAGTCCAAATAATCATAGGTCTTTGTATAAACCAAATTAGTGTCATAAAAATTTATAGAAAGTTCGGTTGAGGCATCATATGTACCATTTTCCACTAATTCATCCATTAAACTGATAAACATTTCCTGATCCAATTCATGATTTTCGGGAAATGTTAGAGTGGCATTATGCTTGCGTGCAAATTCACTTAGGAAATGTCCCACAAAACCACCCAAAATATATGTTTCATTTTCCTCTCTCAAAACATAACAACTTGTGCTGACATTATGCATAATCAAAGTTATGGCAGCACCTTGCATATTTTTTATTTGATCAATAAATAGAACAGTTGTATTCTTTTCCTTTAGTTTTTCCAATTTCATTTTGAATTCGGGAAAAGCTTCCATAGTGTAAAGCGTATTGCCCTTTTGTAGGGATATGTTAATAACCATAACATTGATAACTTTGTTTTCATAACAAAACTCTAAAATATTTTTAATGTATTTCCCATCTTTTGTCTTCTTTAGCAATAATATAAATCTGGTGAGTAAATTACGTTTCAGTGTTCTCCATAAAGTCATCAATAGTTCCTGGTCCTCTTTTTCCTTACCATTCAAATGTACTATAGCCATGAAACGTCGATTATATCTATACCATAAATAATATGAAGTATTACCCTTTAGATTCATAATGGGTGTATTACTTTCACACATTAGATATTTCAATATTTTATCCGTATTGTAGGCTTCTTCGTAATCTTTTCCCTGCTTGTCATCGTGTCTCATATAGAGAATTGATTGATAATAACGATCTTCCTTAATCCAATTGGCCAGTTCCGTCAACTTGTAACTGAATTCATTTTCATGTGTTAATATTTCCAAAAATCCAATTAGAATTGAAGTTGATGTTGCTGTTGCATTAACCGTCATCGTGGCACTAAAGTCTATTGCGGCATTTTGCTCTAATTGATTTTTGTTGAAAACCAATTTAGTTTTGGTTTTGGTATTTTTGATATTGACAAAACTTCTGGGAATTAAATTGCATGTAAAATATTACTAAACATTTAAACATTTACATATAAATAAATAGCTCTATTAATAGAATACTTGTTATACCCGCCACCACCATCAGTGGTGATAGAGGTTATATATAACATTGTCATTACATGTGTAACACCAAGAAATATTCATCTGAGACCCAACAAAGTATATATATTCCGGGTACTTAGCAAATTCTGTGTCGATTTAGCTATGTCCGTATGTCTGTCCGTATGTCTGTCCGTCTGTCTGTCCGTCTGTCTGTAAAACATGCTCACGTTAAAACTAAGCAAAGGAAATCAAGCAAGTTCTCCAAAAACATTCATTGTTGGCCTGAACAGTTTGCTATTGAAAATTAGCGAAAATAAATTATGTTCAAACTCAAAACAATTGGTCCAAAATTTCCCAAAGCCCCCAACAAAGGTCCATATTCTCGAAAATGGGTTTATCATTAATAACTTCGTCAAAAATATCGGGATCACTGCGAAATTTTGCACATATGTTTATAATATGAACAGAAATCTTAGTACCAACGTAAATCTGTAGCGGCCCATAAATGGTCATAGCTCCCGTATACGGTTCACTTCCGAAAATCACTTAAATGTACATAACTAATTAATAAATAAAGATATTGGAATAATATTCGATATACAATATTCTGTGTATACATATATGACTCTACCAAGTTTTTTTCGGATCGGTCATTAATTGGTCATAGCTACCACATAATGGTCCACTTACAATAACCACGTAAATGGATATATTTCATAACTGAATGAAGATATCGGTATAAATCTCGTAATAAATGTGTTTAAAGTAGATATGAACCATCCTGAGAAATATTTTTCGGATCAGTCCGTAATTGGTCAGAGCAAATGTATAAGAGACATGTCTTTTATTGATATTGTCTTTCTGTTTATAACACATCAGATTTTTGCAATTAGTCTTGTCCCGGTTATTGCAGGAGTCATTTCTGAGTGCACGTGGTGACAGTGAGTTTAACCCAAAATCGCGGGAAGAGAATATTGGTTAAAAGACTTATCTACGGTAAAGTCCATAATCCGGATAAGTTCGGTGCTACTGCCGAGACAACAGATACCCCACTGAGGTGTGACTGTGGGATTAAGTGTTGGTAATGAGTTGCTGTTAAGTGTATATGTTGCGGGATGTATGTGGGGGTATGCGGACCTTACCCACCCGTATACCTAGAGTAAAAGTGTCGGATGTTGTTCTCTATGAGTGCTTCGAATGAATGAGAAGTGTGCTGTGTTGAATGGTAAAAAAGAGGGGGAATATTGGTTTTGTCATTCCGTTTTAACACATCAAAATATTTTATTAAATTATAAGACGATCTAGCCATGTCTGTTGAAATCACGATAGAGGTCTCACGGGAGGAGCTAGAGGTTTGAAATTTTGCATAGAAAATGAGCAATATCGGTCAACGATTTCTCCTAGCCCCCATACAAGTGGCCCCCAGGAATATAGCTTAAAGAGTCATAAATAAGTTAATTATGAAGCAATCGTGATAAAATTTCGCTTAAATTATTTTTGTGTACCATAATCTCTTTATCAAATTTTACAGCGACCGTTTCATAATTGACGCTGGGTGCCTTTTCGAAAATAACGTTATGACTCACAGTTGGCTAAAAATACATGAAATTCAAAACAATCACTTTTTATAGGAATCAAAATCTCACTACCAAATTTTGTGGGTATCGGTCCATTGTCGACCCTACCCCCATAAAAGGTCAACTTCAGAAAGTGATATTATCTTATAGCTGGATTAACAATACTAGTCTAGTGGCGCAAATTATCATAAACAAGTTTTTTAAGAACATAAATTTCTCTTACAAATTTTAATTCAGTAGAGCTCGGTTCATAATTGGACCCAGCTAACATTAAATGCCCTATTCCGAAAAGCACTCTGATGTCTATATTAATTTCGAATAATATAATTCAGCATACAGGACCGATCATTACAAAGATCGGCACTATCCTTTATGCTTATATACAACTTTGTCCTGCCGTTTTTTGAAGAGATAGTCCAAATCGGAAAGTCTGGTTGTATGGGGGCTAGGCGAAATAATGGTTCTATTTCAACATGCAGTGTCCAAATTTCATTTATGAGTCGACCGACATGCTTTAAGGTTGGTGTAAAACAGGATATTTTTGTATGTTATAAACATCAGCAAAAACGTATAAAACCCTCCCATTATGGTAGTGTAGAGAATATTAAGCAAGCACAACACACACACACACGCAAACACAATCTGTATGTTGTCGTTTTCTTCCGCCTGTATGTAGAGATATTGTCTTTTTCGAGGAAATTTTCAGTGGTTGTCTAATATTTACGGTCCGATTTTGCTTATTTTGTAATCTATCTCACAGTTTTTGTAATAATGTCGAAGGTTAGTTTTTAGTATTTTACTATAAATATCAGGAATAATGCTGAAAAGGTTTCATCACATTTGTGTCTGGAATTTTAATTGAGATTAAATAAAAATATTGAAAACAATGAAATACTTAAGTATAGTTAAAAAAAACACATTTTTGTTCATTCCTTTTGAAATCAATTAAGTATTATTTATTAATAGGTATTGCATTAACACAATCTTTTTATTAAACGAATAAACTTTTTTAAAAATCTGCCACGATAGGGCCAGTAAACTTCTATGGCAAAACAAATGCACAGTAATATTACTATAACAATAAAAAGGAACATTAACAGTTTCATATCTTCCAATTTCATGGGTTCAAATGTTGATATGCTACTCTTATCCTCCAAACTGATTCTCTTCAATTGAACAAATTCCAAAAATGCCAATGATTTCCAATAGGCAACAATTCCCGCTTGATTGACTTGACCAATGACAGTATTCATGGCCTCCTCGTAGGGTGAATTGGGTTGTAAAGGTAGTTGCATGCCAATCATTTTGATAATACAAATATCTGTTAAACGATAACGCGGTTTGGAGAAAAATTTCTGTTGTTGCTCATACAAGGTCCATTGAGCTGAAGGGACTGGATATATGAAACGGCCATCAAAACTATCACGTAAAGCATGATATTCCGTATAGGATGGTATAACTTTTAAATGGTTAGTAAGTTCAATACCTACATCATAAGCTTTAAGTAAAGCATATTCTTCTTTATATAGAGCGATAAGCATGCCCGATTTTTTAATATCTTCCAGAGAATTTATAACATGTTTCTTAGGTGGTCTGGCATTGAAGGTTTGTAAGTAGGTGACATATGTGGTATTGAACACCAAGCCTGATAAGCAAATTAGCATAAAAAGTAAACTGCGTACGCTGGAGAAAGAGCGTTCACCTTTAAATGACTGACCCAAAAGTCCATTGAGTACGTATATATTAAATAGAAGTTCATTGCAAATAACACGTTCTTGTTTAACAATATAGGTAACAGCCAATACTATGGAAAATGCTATGAAAGCTATTAAAATCATAACCATGCTGGCCGTGTCAAATACCATTACATAAAAACTATAAGACGGCACAGATTCTTCTAATGGCACCATCAGGCACCAATCCATATAGTCGTAAGTCTTTGTGTAGACCAAATCAGTGTTATACAAGTTTATTGAAAGTTCTGTAGAGGCATCATACGTACCATTTTCCACTAAATCGTCCATTAAACTGAGAAACATTTCATTATCCAAAGTATGATAATTAGGAAATGTTAAAGTTGCATTGTGCTTGCGTGCAAATTCGCTAAAGAAGTGTCCCACAAAACCACCCAATATAAATTTTCCATTTTCTATTCTTAGTAAATAACATCTTGAGCTGGCTTTATTCATAATCAAAGTAATGGCAGCACCATGCATATTTTTTACTTGATCAATAAATAGAACAGTTGTATTTCTTTCCTTTAGTTTTTCGTACCTTACTTTGAATTCCGGAAAGATTTCCATGGTATAAAGCACATTGCCTTTTTGCAGAGATATATTAATAACCATAACATTGACAACTTTGTTTTCATAACAAAAATTTAAAATATTTTTAATGTATTTCCAATCTCTTGACCTTTTTAGCAACAATATAAATCTGGTGAGTAAATTACGTTTCAGTGTTCTCCATAAAGTCTTTAATAGTTCTTGGTCCTCATTTTCATTGCCATTCAAATGTACTATAGCCATAAAACGCCGATTATATCTAGACCACAAATAATATGAAGTATTCCCCTTAAGATTGATAATAGGTGTATTACTTTCATCCATTATATATTTTAATATTTTATCCGTATTGTAGAGTTCTTCATAATCATTTCCCTGTTTGTCATCATGTCTCATATAGAGAATAGTTTGATAATAACGATCTTCCTTAATCCAATTGGTAAGTTCCATCAACTTGTAACTGAATTCATTTTCATGTGTTAATATTTCCAAAAATCCAATAAGAATTGAAGTTGATGTTGCTGTTGCATTAACCGTCATTGTGGCACTAATGTTTAGTATGGTATTTAGTTAAAATTGATTTTTCTTCAACAACATATTTGTTTAGTAAGTATTTTGTGACTGACAAAACTTCTGGGAATTAAGTTGCATGTAAAATATTACTAAACCATTAGGTCAAATAATTGAGTATTATTATTAGCCACCTTCTAAAAAAGGAATGGTTTATATTGATTATGTCATTCCTTTTGTAACTCAGTGAAATATTGGTGGTAAGTCCACAAAGGCATATTCTAATTATTGTATTTTACGATAAATTAGCCATGCTGTTTGTTGAAGGCACGATAAGGTCTGATAGGGAGAAGCTAGAGGACAGAGATTTTCTCTATCAATAAGGTATGTTTGGTATTGACGGTCGACTTTTTGTTTTTTTAATCAAAACAAACCACTTTTAAACTTTTTATTTGTAATGACTTATTTAACCACTTATTTTTAAGCGGTTGACTCCAATGACATCGCCATGTTAAAATAATGAGTAAAAATGTCAAGGTGTAAGTAGTGAAATGTAGAATGTTTTGCCCAGTAAGTTGCGACATAGCTTAATATAACAAGTAGGGATTGTTATACGCTAAACTCTGCTGATGTTCGTAACGAACAAAAAATAATGATATTATACCCATTAATATATAACATATACCAATTATCGGCTTAGAAACATTTTCTGATTCAATTAAGCAATATCTGTTCGCCTTTTCATATAAACATTGTATCGGCTTATATTTGACCCCACCCCCATATAGTCACTCTATCCCCCGTATAAGATCCTCTTCACAAAATCACTTTAACCCTCATAACTGGCCTAAAAATAGAGGTGTTGAAATTCGTCATAAACAAGTTTTATAAGAAGAAAAATCTTTTAACCAATTTTTATAAGAATCGGTTCATAATTGACCGCCACCTCCCATATAAGATCACCTTTAGAAAATGACTTTAATACTCATAACTACCTTAATAATACCAGTATAGTGGTGAAATTCGTCATAAAGAAGTTTTATAAGAATACAAGTTAGAGTGCTATGGGAGCTGTGATCAATTATGGACCGATTCGGAAAAAACTTCGTAGAGGGTTTCATACATTCATGTTGAATTTTATCCCGATAGCATTATTTGTCAATGAAATACGTTGTTAGTATGACTTCTGTTCATATTATAGTTATATGTACAAAATTTTGAGTTGATAACGATATATTTGAAGAAGTTATTTACGATAAATCCATTTCCGGTAATATGTACTTTTGTTTGGGGACTATGGGAAATTTTGGATCGATTGTTATTTCTTTGAACATAATTAATCCCTTATAACGTGTGACAAAATTCATCGAATTATCTTTTGTAGTTTCTAAAAAAATTACTTAAGAATTACGAAAAAAAACATAATTTTTTACGAGGTAGTCTGACATTTTTACTCATAATAGTATACGCACAATTGGAACGAACAGCGAATTTTTCGGAACGAATATTCGTCGTCAGAAATAGAACACAATCATTGCGTATGACGAAATTCGTCGTACGTAACGAACTATGCGATAGGTTTATTTCTATTTCTTACGCAGACGAACGACGAATTAATTGGGGAAAATTGTTTTAAAACCAATTCCGGTAGCCCGAATTTGCTGAAATTTGGCGGTTGTGAGTACAGCTGTTATGTTCGAAATATTTTTTATGCTCTTAAAATAATCTCTGGGTCATAAAAACTAAAAATAAAATTTTCGAAAATTCGAACTTAAGTTCGAAAAATTTTTAATGCCATTAAAACCAGTTCTCGTGGCCCGAATTGTCTGAAATTTGGCAATCTGGAGTACACTTGATGACACTACAATGCTATGTTGGAATATTTAAAATTAAGTTCGAAAATTCGAAGTAATGTTCGAAAAAAAATTTGAAGCTGTTAAAATAATCTCAAAATTGGGGATATTCACAAAAAAAATAATTTTAGTTCTTTTCGAGGCCAATTTCTTACATTTTCTAATTTCGAAATAATGTTCGAATATATTTTAAAGCTGTTAAAATTATCTCAAAATCGTGGAGATTCACAAAAATATAATCTTTGTTCCTTTTTCTTACATTTTTCTTACAAATTTTGAAACAAATAATTTGATTGTGTTCCATTCGACGAATTTATGTCGACTAGTTCGTCGTGCTATACGAAATTCGTCGTTCGTCCCAAGTGTGCGTATACCATAACTTTTAGTATTGTGAACCGATTTTGCTGATTTCTTTTGCTTAGTTTGACGTGAGCGGGTTTTAGTTAGACAGACAGACGGACATAGCTAAATCGACTCAGAATTTGATAAGGACCTAGAATATTTACTTTGATGGTTCTTAGATGAGTATTTCTTGGTGTTATACACGGAATGACAAAGTTATATACATATACCCTCTATCACTACTGATGGTGGTGGAGGGTATAAAAAGTCTCTTTAGCCGATTTGATATGGATGTACTTACAATTAACCCCTGTCGAAAATGAGAACGAAATTTACCTTAATTTTACGGCACGTATGTATATTTTACGGTGGGTATATATGATTCGGCATAGACGAATATAATGCTCTTACTCGTGAGTACTACAAAATTGTCACCTAAAAGCTAAATCGACATACACTTTACCTTAATTGTTAGCATTGTCATAGAGAAATCATGTTATTGAAAATATATTAAAATTAAAAGTGCTAACATACGGCATTTAAAACAAGTAAGAAATTATAGTCGTGCGAGGCCGACTATGTAATACCCTACACTGATTTAGTTTTCATAATAAAGCATTTAAGTGGAATTGTATCTTGTCTCAGATATACTTAAGCCATTTATTGTTGAATAAAATTGTGGACATTTATGTCATATTTTGAAAGGGGGCTTCGTATAAGGGCTAGGGTCAAATAAGCCCCTATAAATATAAAATTCATGAGGGTCATCAAGGCTAGTATAGAAAAAACCCTTTACGGCGGGTTCAGTTGTATGGCGGATAGATGACATAATGGACCGATATTAACCATTTCCAATAGACTTCGTCTCTGGTACAATGGAATCATTTGCCAAATTTAATTGATTTATCTTTAAAATTGCGACCTGTAGTTTGATTACGGACAGACGGACATAGCTAAATTGACTCAGATATTGATTCTAAGCCGATTGGTATACTTTATGGTGGGTATAGGACTGCGCGTTACAAACATCAGCACAAAACCAATATACCCTCCCCACTAAAGTGGTGTAGGGTATAAAAACTGGTGAGAGAAAAATGTACTTTTGGGTTGTTATAAAGCGCTATGTCTAGTAAAAAGGAACTAGAGTAAATGTTTGAAATAGTAAATTTCTTAGATATTTAGCAAATAATCAAAATTTTTTCAACACATAAATATTTGTTGAAAACCTATTTTAGCAACATTTTAAATACCACACCACCTTGAACATTTTATCATAATAAATTTAAATATTATTAAACATCACAGTCATAAGCAAGACAATTAAAATGTAATAACCGAGATTGCAAAGTTAATGGAAAAACAAAATATAATTATTCCTCCAAATGGTATATGTCCATTTTACATAAATTTAATTGAATAAAAATGAAACATTTCTTATGTTTATAACCATTCATGATGCATTAAATTTAAATTAAACTTAGATCAAGATACTCTATGGTTACTCTTGGTTGACTATGATGATGATGATGATGGACAAAAAAAAAACTACTTATCTAGTCACACATTTTATAGGTTTCTTTTCTATCTGCTTATCTCCATCAAATGGTTCATCTGTTGCAATTTCCTCTAAAAAAAATACTTTGTTTATTAGTTATACACAATTTTGCATATGTGTAGTCAAACTATGTGCATATATGCATATGATTGAGGGAACAAGAAAACTAATTTTATAACTCTGCTATTAATTTTTATACCCTCCACCACCATCAGTGGTGATAGAGGGTATATATAACTTTGTCATTCCGTGTGTAACACCAAGAAATATTCACCTGAGACCCAACAAAGTATATATATTCTGGGTCCTTATGAAAGTCTGAGTCGATTTAACTATGTCCGTCTGTCCGTCCGTCTGTCTGTCTGTCTGTGTAAAACACGCTCACGTTAAAACGAAGAAATATAATTTAACCAAATTCACCCAAATATTCACTATTATCCGGTACAGTTTGCTATTGAAAATGAGCAAAATCGGTTCACATCGGGAAAAGTTATGAATCAAAATTTAAAACAACTCCGAAAAAAATAAGCATTTTTTACACATTCTGATGTAATTTTCTCGAAAACTATGCAAGATAATTTCATGAAAGTCATCATGCATTCGTTTCTACACAAAATCTTGATTCTTGCTGAAAATTGCCAGAATCAGTCCATAATTTCATATAAGTACATATTCCCGGAAAATTAGTTTTTTGTTAATAACTTCCGTCAGAATGTTGATATCTTCACAAATTATGTTGATATCTTTACAAATTAAAATCTTATGTCAATAGAATGCATTGAGAGAAAAAAATTTCAGGATCGGTCCATAATTGGACATAGCTCCCATACAAGGTCCCTTCCCGAAAATTACTTAAACGCGCATAACTGATTACCAAATCAAGGTATCCATATAAAATTTGGTACAATTATTGCTCTCACATACAGAAATATTACTGTGAAATTTTTTTCCGATCGGTCCATAATTGGTCATAGCTCCCATACAACGTCCCCTCCCGAAAATCACTTAAACGCACATAACTCATTACTAAATCAAGATATCCATATAATATTTGGTATAATTATTGCTCACATATACAGAAATATTACTATGAAGGTTTTATCCGATCGGTCCATAATTGGTCATAGCTCCCATACAAGGTACCCTCCCGAAAATCACTTAAACACACATAACTCATTATTAAATTAAAATATCCATATGGTACAAGTATAGCTCTCACATATAGAAATATTACTATGAATTTTTTTCCGATCGGTCCATAATTGGTCATAGCTCCCGTA